CTTAAATATCATATTTGTCACAGAATGCTACCTTAAAAAAATATGCACTATCTTAAAATAAATAGTAAAATCCCTTTGCTTTGTCTTTGGTAAAAACCTAAGTATAACAATAGTTGGATGGAGCATTATCATTCATTCTCCTTTTATTGAGAATACCCTCGATTACATTTGTCTTCATATCCATCTAACATGTGATTCTTATAAATGTTAACAGTTGAAAACAAACAGCTGGCTGAACTCTCTGCTTCAGTCTTTTGGATAGTTTGCTTCTCAGTGAGTGATCAGTATTTTGATACTGCCGTAGTAACAACAGGAAATGATCTGTTAAAATCTGGATGGCCAACTACTGATCAATGCCAGGGTAAAGAGGAGAGCTAGTCTCAGAATAAAGTCTATAAAAACAGTTTGGGGAACTATTTCCAGGACCACAGGGGAAGAATCGTTAATTTGCTCTCAACATCGGAAAAGCAAATGCCTAGTGGAAGAACATTTTAGGGTGATCACAGAACAGCATCAATGGGAAGCTGACGGCCAAAATGCAGTACTTAAAAAGACTGCCATGGTAAACGCTAGGGCTTCAATTACACATGATGTGAAATACCATTTTCTGAAAGAAGAATTCACTTAGAAAAAGATTTCATAAGCAGGTAGAACTCTCCTAAAATTGGTCTAGACAATAGTACTAAAAAATAATTTTAACTTTTCATTTGGCCATTAGTTATAGACTTTTTGTTAGAATTATAATTGGGGAGATCTAATTATTAATAATTAGCCTTTGGATTTGTCCTGATATAATAAATCATTATCATGGATAATTAATAAATGAATCCTCAAGGATTTCTTCTTCATCATCTTCCTCTTTCTAAAGCTTTCCGGACAGCACTGCACGGAAACAGACATGACTAAACAGCAGACCACAATGCCGTGTAGAAGGCTGGTTGGTAGACAGCCTTCCCAGCAAACATTTCCAAACACCGTACTCTACAACAGTGATTTGCCACTTTATCTCATGGCACACATAAACTAATTACCAACATTTTGTATTTTTTTATCTGACCAAAAAAATAGGTCTAGTTTTGATTCACTCACACTAATCGGCCATTGTTGTATTGGCTATGTCATTTTTTATTACTATTTGATATTCCAAGGGAAAAGAGATCAGTGCCCTTGACTAAATAGTCAGCTATTGAATGTTTCAAAATTCTTTTGGCACACCAGTGTGTCTGCCAAGGCACACTGGTTAAAAATCGCTGCTCAAGAGCGTCACAGAGTGGGGAATGCCAGAACATTGTGGACAAAAGAAGATAATCTTGATTTAAAAGATGCACAAAGCAAAAGTATCTAGATAGAATCACAACTATAACACATTATTTCCCTGATGCTTTAATATAACAAATTTTGCAAATTTTATCATTTTTAAAAGGTACCTGAATAAACCATTTATCAATAATTCAATAAAAAAAATACATAAGCCATTTTATTAAGAAGTTTATAGTAACAATTTTCTGAAACATTGGAAACATGTCAAATATTTGTATTTGAGTCATAAAACTTAGTTGTTTTTTAATCCTCATCTGAGGATATGATTTTCTTTATTTGAGAGAGAGACATTGATCTGTTGCCTCCTATATGAGCCCTGAATGGGATCAAACTCATAGGGACAACGCTCTAACCAAATAAGCCACCTCACCTGGGTAACTCATAAAAATGTATACTCTTTAAATTTATACTGTTGTGTATTAATTTGTACTAAATTAGTAGTCATAATGGCTAAAAGAACAGAAGGCATTGTGTCTAAAATTATTTTTCAAGATTTGTCTGTGTTTTAATTGTTGGAACCTTTTAAACAAGAGTAAATATACAAAATGTCACTTGATACCAAACATACAAATCATCTGTTTCAAATTAACTGTTGTTACTTACATATAAACAATGATAGTTTGGATTCAAGAACAAGCATGAAAAGTGAATAACTAGCTGATATTACAATATTCTTTCCAAAATTCCACCTCCTTCACAATGTGTATTTTGCTTCACCTCTAATTTCCTGGACAGGAAGTCAATTCTCTTCTCCTCTACACTTCTACTCAGCAATTTGAGATACTACCACTCTAATTTCTCATTTGGTTGTTTAGAGAACTATTATTTCCCCTAGTAGTGTTGTAAGCAACTAGCAAGCAAGGTCCACATGAGATTTATCTTATTTTCTTTATTACATCTAATTCAACATACAGTATTTATTAGTTTGCTGTTTTTTTTAAGAGTTGCCTATTATGCCGGATCAGTAAGGCTCAGTGATTTGACCCCAGCCTAGTCAAGGAGTGCACAGGAGGCAACCAATCGATCGATTTTTTTTTTTTCTTTCTCTCCCCACTCCTTTCCCTTCCACTCTCTCTAAAATAATCAATGGGGGGAAAAATATCCTTGAAGATTAACAACAAAAATTAGTTTAGTTGCCCTGGCCGGTTTGGCTCAATGGACAGAGTGTCGGCCTGCGTGAGGACTGAAGAGTCCCAGGTTCGATTCCGGCCAAGGGTATATGCCTAGGTTGTAGACTCCATCCCCAGTAGGGGGTGTGCAGGAGGCAGCCTATCAATGATTCCCTCTCATCACTGATGTTTCTTTCCTCTCTCCCTCTCCCTTCCTCTCTGAAATCAATAAAAATATAATTTAAAAAATTAGTTGTCTATTAGTGTTCAATAAACTTTTAAAATTCCAGTTTTATGCAGTTTCTTGTGACAATACTTCCTCAGCTAATAAACTGATTTAAAAGGTGTTTTATACTTAGATGTAAAATTTAAAAATTCAAATCTTATAAATGCTTTTAATACTAAAAAATGTATACTCATTACAAATGAATCAATGAATTTGTTGTTGTTTCATTAACTGTTAAAATGGCTTTTTAATCTTTGTTTTTAATTCTCAAATCCTATACAGTAAGAAAAAAATTTATCCATATTGTTGTATGCATTAATTGTTCATTCATTTTTATTGCTCAGTAGTATTCCACTGTATGGATATACCACAATATTTCTATTATCCTGTTGATCAATATTGTGCTATTTTCAGTTTTGAGATATTAAAAATAAACCTACTATGAATATTCATGTACAAGTCTTTATATAAACATATGCTTTCTTTTCTTTTGGGAAAATAACTAGGAATAGAATGGCTGGGTCACATAATTAGATGCATGTTTAAGAAACTACCAAACTGTTTTCCAAAACGGTTATGCATTACATCCTCCCCAGCAGTGTGGGGTCCAGTTCCTATCTTTGCCAACCGTTGTAATTGTCTTTTTAATTGCAGCACTTTTAGTGGCTATGAAATAGTATCTCATTATGGTTTTAATTTGCATTTCACTAATGTCCAATTAACTTCAGCACTTTTCACACACTCGTTTATGTCATATGTATTCCGTGGTGAAGTGGCTGTTCAAATTATTTGTTCACTTTTAACTGAATTGTTTTCTTACTGTTGAGTTGTAAGAGTTCTTTATTCTAAATACAAATCCTTTGTCAGATAATCAGTACTTTCAAAATAGAAATGCAACAGTTTCAGATAATTATGCTTTGTTATTATACCACTTAGTCTATCGGTACTTTTAAATAATCGATAGTAAGGGCAAGTATTATCTCTGTAATCCTCAAGTACCAAGTTTTCCCAAGTCTATTATAATATTTAAGACTTCAATCTCTACAGTAATGCAAGAACCACCATGGAATTTTTCCCAAGCAAGAGTCAATCTGGGGAAGTTCTTTGGCTAAACACCATCCCTAAAAGTAATAGATATAGAAAAACAGTATGCAAAATAAAATCTCATTTTAAAACATGGACAGAAAACATATTTAAGCTCCTCTAATATCTCTTTTTTTAAATATATTTTTTTATTGATTTCAGAGAGGGAGAAAGAGAAACATCAATGATGAGAGAGATTCACCAATTGGCTGCCTCCTACAGGCCCCACACTAGGGATCGAGCACTCAACCCAGGCATGTGTCCTGACTGGGAATCAAACCACGACCTCCTGGTTCTGAGGTCAATGCTCAACCACTGAATCACACCGGCCAGGCAGCTCCTCTGATATCTTTTTTATTTCTTCCTCTAATATCTTTTTATATATAAAGAATAATTTCATACGTGAAAAAATATTTCCATGATACATATTTATCCCTTGGAACGTGTGTCAAGACACAAATCTGAAACTAACTCATATAGCAGCACTAGAATTAGGATAACAGCAGATTATACTGGCACTCTCTGACATGGTTTCAGGATATAGACAATCCTAGGGTTACAAGTATTTCATGGAAGTAATTATGACATAATTGACAATATTCCCAAATCAGAACACCTTATAATAAGCTTATTTGACAGTTTTTTAAAAGGCCCAGTATTAAAAGAATAAGCTTCCTCTGGAGTTAAAAACAAGGAATAATTTTGGCTCATTAAAAATAGTATCTATTGAGAAAACATATGCTTGTTCTCAAACATGAAGTAAAATTATTACTCTAATGCATGATCATTATATGAAATAATCACTTGGTTAGTAAAATATTATGTATATTCTAAAATTTTCAGTTCAACTAGTTTTCTTTTAGAATGAGGAAACATTTAATGATTGGCTTCAAATTCTTTTTATTTTTTAATTTTTAAAATTATTTTAGAGAGAGGAAGGGGAAGAGAAAGAGAGAAAGGGAGAAAAAAAACACACATTGATGTGAGAAATGTCAATCAGCTGCTTCTTGTAGGATCATACCTACAGCCTGGGTATGTGCCCCGACTGGGAATCAAACCTGCAACCTTTTGGTGTATGGGACAATGCTCCAATACCAGCCAGGGCATAAATTCATTTTTAATATAAAATATGTGAGTGTTATTATATGATAAAGAAAATAAAGATAGTATGACCCAAATTTTATTTTTTAAAGCTAATATAAAATACTTTTCAAAGCATATAAAAATTGCGAAACAACTGAGGATTTTTCAATAAAGATATATTTACTGACCAGAGAAAACAAAGGTATGTTTAATGACTTCTGTTTCCAGGTCACCTTATTGAACGATACATCATGAAATCAATAGTTGTACATCTAGGAAATTTACCAATGGAGCTCTCTTCCACTGGTGTATATATTTTAATTTGTCTCATGTGGGTGTCTCTTCCATTTTGGTGATTGGCTAGAACAGCAATCTGTATCATGAATGTGCGAGTTGGCTTCTTATGGTTATCAGTTAAGGGAACATGAATCCAGCCACTTGGTTCCACCAATTCAAGTTGCTGCCAGGAAAAGAAAAGTCAGATTAGGTTTGCACCCAATGAACATAACTTACTATAATGAATACATTCTAAAGTTGACTTATCTGTGGATGGTGTCAGGTGGGTATTAGACTTACCAAGGTGATGATGTAAGTTATACAAATGCCACTATGCTGTATATCCGGAACTAATATAATATTGTATGTCAACTATAATTGAAAAATTACAAATTTAAAAATAGAATAAAAAATAAAGTTAAGTTAAAATTAACCTCTTGCTCATCGAGAAAATGACAGTATGATAATAACCATTATCAGTTACTGGAAACATTTACCATGTTCTATTTCTATAGTTGCTAAGCACATTACATGTACCATCTTAGTAGGCAGTCTTAGTGTTAGAATTAGACATGTGTAAATGTATACATCCAATGGAAGGTAAAAGCAGGGAAATAATCTAACATGCTTCTGACATATTTTATTTCAAGAAATATGCCTAATACATCCAAAATCATACAACAATCAAAATCTATATAAATTATAAGAATACTAAGAGAAAATCAGTTATTAAATAAGCATCAAACAAAGCTTTCTTTCTTGGGGATAGTAAGTGTTTATCTAGTCTTAATGATGATCTAAACCTAAAATCTAGATTTTTAATGTTTTTTAATAAGAAATTACAGATTAATTTTTTTAATTTAAATTTTCTTTTAAACAAGAGTCCAAACTGTCCTTACTTCACAAGGAAAGGAAAACCACAAGTCAAGAGGTAAACCAATGTTTCTAAGTTTTCCTAAAGTACTTTTAAAACATATTGATATTTTAATTGCTTAATTAAAGGGTACAAATGAACTACAGATGCATTACAAAAAAATATAGGTTTATCTTATCAAGACAGTCAAATGGCAATGAGTGTCAAAAACTCTAACTCGGGGTTCTGTGAGTTACTCTAGAAAAACAATTAAATAAATGCCATGATATCTTCCTTTTTCTTTCTTTAATTCTTTTATCTTCTTTCATTCTTTTTCTTTCTCTTCTCTTTCCTTCTTTATTCTTTCTTTGCATTTTTTTTTAAAGAAAGAGGGTGGGTAGAGATGGGGCAAGAGAACTGTAATAGTATTTAATACTATTGTAAATGATTTCCCCCTTTTATTAGTAACTACAAAATATAAGAATAATTAAATTTCTACCCCCATGGCATTTTGGTCAGTGACATTTTATAAACTTCCACTAGAACTAACTCAAAATGAGTCCATCAGAAACCAGATATATCTGGATTCTATCACTAACCTTTTATTCATTCAGGCCACAAATACTTATTAAGCACTTAAAATGTTCAAGATATTGTTCTAAGTACAGTTAAGCATACAATGCATGAACCCAAAGCATATTTCAAATCTTTCAAAAAAAGCTTAGAAGCATACAAACATCCTCTATGGCTTCATTCAGTTTCTTCTTGCATAAAGTAAAGGGATTGGACAAGTTATCCAATATCCCTTCCAGCTTTGACATTCAATGAGTCTGATTAAAAGAAGAAAGATGTAGTAGGCAGATACCCACATCATTCCCCCAAATCTGTGACCTGTGAATATGTTAACATAGCAAAAGGGACCCCGCAGGTGCAATTAAGGTAAAGATCTTGGGATGGAAAGATTATCCTGGACTACCTGGGTAGGCCCAAAGAAATCAAAAGGGTCTTTAAAAGAGGAAGGCAAGAGAGACAGAGATGTGATGAAGAAGTAATGGTAGGAGTTATACAACCACAAGCCAAGGAATGTGGGCAGCCTCCAGAAGCTGGAAAAGGCAATAAACAATTCTCCTAAAAAATCTCCAGAAAAGAATGTACCTTGCTGACACCACGATTTTAATCGACTAGACCCACTTTGGACTTCTCACTTCCAGATTGTACGATAATAAATTTGTGTTGTTTTAAGCCACTAAGTGTATAGTATCTAAGTGGTTATAGCAGAAATAGGAAACTACTATAATAGATATACATGGGAATTAAGAGGAGGGAGAAAGCACTTCTGGTTAAAATAATCTATTCTCCAAGTAAATGTACAATAGTAAATCTCAATAATGAGCAAAAAATGAAATCAAGATTCTAAATTCAGCTCCTTACTAATGTAATGTTTTTGACAAATTTAACCATTATTTCTGAGATACAATGTTATTTTTAGAGTATTTTAAACACTTTAGTGTACAAAAAGCTATATTAAGATTTTATAACATATATAACTTTTGGCATGATATATTCAGAATTATGAATGTAGTAAATTATTCAATAAATGCAATTAATAAACTATTTCTTCCAAACATATAATAAAGTTTATTGATCTCAATCATTAAAAGTACTATATATTACAAAGTATATATAGCTGTTAATGCCTCTCAGATGGTTTCACCATCAACTATATTGCCTGGAAGTCATAAACACCAATTCATGTGTCTACTTCACTTCTATTGTGCCCAGTTTGAATTCTCAGAGTCATCTCTATAAAGTTATTATTCTTTTTTTATTAAAGTTTACTATTCTGATACTGCCATATTTAAACTTATTTCATAGATTTAAAACCTTACATGCCTATAAATTTAAATTTTTGAAAATGATTAGAAGATTAAGATATTTTATGCAAAAAAAATTTTTTTTTTTAATATTTTCAACAGAAAATTAACAAAAAGCAAAATTTTGCCACAATAACTTTCTTTTTCCCCCTTCCATTTCTGGTTGAATGTCAATAAATGAAAATCGCATCACCACTAAGATATACTTCTTTATTCCTCTTGTTCTTTCTGCCATCTCCCCCTTTTGGTTCCTTTCTCCATATAGTCACTCATTTGAAAAGTTGTTATTTTTTAATTTTTCACCTGCTAGTTATCTGTATCCCATTCCAATCTGAATTTTTCCCTAACGCTGAAACCAATCTTGTCAAAGTCACCTGTGACCTCTCACTTTGCCATATCAATTCTTTAATACAGCTTTATTCTGGATTTTCCTCATCTATTGATAATAATGTGCCTAACCAATATCTATTTGTATTTAAAAGTTTTAAGGCTTTTAAAGCTTTATGTAATATTGTAGTTTAAACATAGTTTTGTGTACAAAAAGATATAACATGGTTTACTAAAGAGAATTTTGTTAATGACAGAAAATAAATGGTAGTTCCGTAAAGACAGATTTAAAGACTGAAGTTAATAATATTAATGCTAAGGCAATATGATACCTGAAATTCTCCTATATAATTGTATCCAGACCCATGACTTCAGGCACCTCAAGTGGATGTATGCTGGTGATTTAAAATTTTATATCTCCTTTAAGAGGCAGCTTCTTTTTCTTAATCCTCACCCGAGAATATTTTTTCAATTCATTTTTAGTGAGAGTGGAAGGGAGGGAGAGAGGAGAGAAACATCGGAGTGAGAGAGACACATTGATTGCTTGCCCCCCGAATCTTCCCCAACTTGGGCAAGGTTCTGTGACCTTGGCTGGGAATCTAACCCGTGACTATTAAGTTTCCAGGCAGATGCTCTAACCACTTAGTAAAAGTGGCCAGGGAAGGAGGCAACTTCTGAAGGTACAAGCAAGGGAACAGCACAGCCCTGGAGTTAATGCTCATCCCTGCTTGCTTCTCCAGTCTTATCTTGAGTGGTCTTTCATCTAATTTCAGTTATATAATCTGCAATAATGCAAAAATAAATTTATACTATGAAGGAAACTGACTCTGAAAATATTCCAAAGATTAGAGATGACAAAGAGATATTAACTGTATTTCATTTTTTTAAAAAATGGGTCATCTGTTGTGTGTGTCTGCAAAAAATTTTTTTTTATTTAACTGAAATTAAATTAATTGCTTGAAAAATATAAGAAAATAAGAGATAGAAAATAAGAATTTTGGTAACTGGATAAAGGAGGTACCACAGCTAATCGATGTGAAGTCAGAAGAGAGAACAGAGAATAAAAATATGAAAGAACATAACAGAACCTCCCAGAACTAAAAGACAAGTGTCTCCTCATTGATGGGATCCACTGAGCACCCAGCACATGAAGGAAACATTACACACACACACACACACACACACACACACACACACACACCACACACAAGCAGTTATGGCATAGCATCGTGAAATTTCTAAACATCAAGGATAAAGAGATTATAAATGCTTCTACAAACAACAATAGGTCACTTGCAAAGCATCAAAAACCAAGTGTTCCTTAACATTTACACTAAAAACTATGAGGCAATGGAGAATGTGCTTAAAATTGATGAAAATTTTCTTCCAAACTAGAATTCCATACCCAGCCAAATCATCCCTCGAGGGTGAGATTAAAATTAAGTTTTCAGTCATGCAAGGCTTCAACAATTTTACCTCCCATGTGGAGTATGCATTCCACCAAAATAGGAAGTAAATCAAAAAAGATGAAGACCTGGGATCTAGAAAACAAGAGATCAACCAGCCAAAACCAGTTTGGCTCAGTAGTAGAGCGACAGTCTGTGGACTGAAAGGTCCCAGGTTCGATTCCAGTCAAGGGCATGTACATTGGTTGCGAGCACATCCCCGGTAGGGGGTGTGCAAGAGGCAGCTGGTCAATGTTTCTCTCTCACCGATGTTTCTAGCTCTCTATCCCTTTCTCCTCCTCTCTGTAAAAAATCAATAAAATATATATATTTTTTAAAAACCTACTGCTTATCTATTAAAAAAAAAAGAGAGAGAGAGACAGATCTATCAAAGAGAAGGTGAAAGAAACTCCTAGGATGATGTTGAAGGGGTATCTTAAGAAGACAGCTGTTAGTTAGTCCAGATCTTCTGAGAAACCAAGACATAAGTAGATATACCAGATATTTATAAAGGCAAATGTCTTTGACAGAAAAGGGGAGAGCCAGGGAAGGCTGAAAGAGCTGTCAGATAGTGATGCAGGGCTGAGCCCAGGGGAAGGAGACAGGGAAGGAAAGAAGACTGGGTGGATCATGTTAGATTGCATTGCAGTTCCAGGGAAAGTTGGGCAAGGCTCTCAGGGACTGC